TACAAGTCGGAAGTATCTTGCTGGTACATCTTGCAGTAACTCCCACGACCGACTTTCTATTAACCTCGGCATTGATCAAGGGATTTTCCTCGTATTTTTGTTGAGCACACGCGAGGTGTTACTATTCCTTGTTCACGATTAAGCTGACGTTTCGGCCGATTTCGCCTTCTTCAGAGCCTGGAAAGGTCAAGTTGATAGCAATGCACTCGGCCAGACGCCTCTATAACCAAACAAAGAAACTCCAAACCAAGATTTCAATCACTTTGAACACAGCTTTGCACACTCACACTACAAAGCTTAGTAATATTTCGAAACCGACTTTCCTCGAACCTCGGTATCACTAATCAATATGTATTCTTTCTTTGATGAGCTTACACCAGGTTGATAATGATGTTTACTGTGAAATATTACTACACTTTTTGCTAGCTGATAATAACACCGACTTCTGCACGATGTGCGCGATGATTATGTCCGGAAGAAAAATTAGTTGTTATCACCGGACATTATCATTATATCGACTATCAGCATCGTGTGTAAAAGGGCATCACAGAGCAAGGATGCCTCATTCGAGGAGATGGCTCACTGAAGGAGACCTGACTCGACACGAAGGCGAAGCTGACACGTCGAGACGAATAACAAGCGAGTACTATCGACTCGGATCATCGGCTCTGAGGAAAACGAAGACGTCGAAACGTTAGCCGAAGATGAACATCATTATCAACCTTGTGTAAGCTCATCAAAAAAAAGAATACATATTAATTAGTGATACCGAGGTTCAAGGAAAGCCGGTTTCGAGATATCACTTTCTAAAGTCTAAACGGGAACGCTCCAGCCCAGCTACTCCAAATATCAATGGAGAACCAACTTACCAGCATTGTTTAACGTTTTGTTTTCTGCCTTCTATAATTTTCATGGCAGGTTACTAAGTAAGCGAAATACAACCACAACGTTGCTGAGATATTTGCAAAACTCTGGACCGCAGGTGTTTATGGTGGGGAACGAACGCGCTATTGTCCTTTCCGGGGAGTAACGCGTTCACCACCACACCATGCGGGTCCTTTGTTTCGCACGTCTCTCAGCTATTTCTATCGATCTTTTTGCCACAGCAATCACCAAAAAACAACTTACCAGCATTCAGCAACATTCGAAAGGAGGAAATCTTTAAGCAGCAGCCGAACATGCAAAAAAATCGAATATGTTTGTAGATGATTGGTGCGAGGAAACGAAAAGATTGAATGAAGTGCTGTGTTTCATACAGTAGATTTTTAAAAGGGTCGTATGAAGAAAAGTAGCTGAAATTTTGCTGTTTGAACGATTTTCTTTCCTTCTCTAGTGGTCCAGAGTAACCTTGACGATTCCGTTCCTACGTCGTCATTGTAACTTTTTTGTGTCGGAATGAGACAATGGTCATTTCTAGCCCCAATTTACATAGCTCCGGATTTCTAGATAAAGATGGCGAAGTCCTTTAAACTAACGTTACCGCACACTGGTTGAATGAACTTCCGCCATACACCGCAGCCCCAACACTTATAGATACCAACAGCTACGGCGAGGTGAATCAGTAAGGAGAATTCGCTCGTCTTTTGCACCCGGAATTTTGCTTTCGAAAAAACTTCTCATTCCTTATGTGTCCGAGAAACTGCACAAAGCGTGTTTTGTTTGGTTCTTTTATAGAGCTGCGATTACGAGTTTTGTCATGCGTTTATGGCGTTTTTATGTTGGCCACACAGTTGATGCACACATAATGAAATCTGTAGAAATGATTCATGCTTGGATCCATTAGTAGTCCTTGTCTGATAATAATAATGTAAATAATCACAACTTTAAGTTATTATTTACTGCTTACCCTTTTTAAAGGTAGCGTCTATTGCGAAATATAACTTCTATAATGCTGAGATATTTGCAAAACTCCGGACCGTAGGTGTTCGCGGTGGGGAACGAACGCGCTATTGCCCTTTCCGGGAGGTAACGCGTTCAACACCACACCACGCGAAGACGAGTGATTGCTGATGGTAGAGATCGATAGAAGTAGCTGAGAGACAGGCGAAACGAAGACCCGTTTGGTGTGGTAGTCAACGCGTTAGCTCTCGGAAAGGGTAATAGCGTGTTCGTTCCCTGCCACAGCAAGCAACCCAACCTGAGTTTTGCAAATAACTCAGCATCATTAAACGTTGAATACAGCTTACAGCTTGCCAAGAGTGTACGAAAAAATTTATGATAAAATTTGTTTGTGGTAAATTTATTCACCACATTCTTTTTTGCAGCCATATAGGTCACAACACGAGCTCATACCTCGTCTTTTGTTGCGTCTTGTAACTTTTTAAAATATACGTTTAACTTTAGCTAATTCACTGCAGGCTTTCGTTCAAGAATAGGTGATGACGTTGTTAACGATAATGCTCTCCGGTTTCTGTTTAACAGTCAAACAAGGTGAAAGCATAAGCATTAGGTTTATCTAACTTTCTTGAGACAGGTTTTTACACCCTTGATGTTTTTCCCTTGATTTCTTTATGTTTATTTCATTTCTGTCACGTTTTGCGAAACATAAAGCGACTCTTAACAAAATTCAAAGAGGCGTGGAGGTTCGCCAGGGTTTCTGCCAGTCGACTTTGCGTCACTACATTGGTTCCGACGAGTTTACTAAGATTGCCGACAACGAATCCCGATGCCGAAGATTCAACTTCACTTTGCGTTTCCGGTTTCAATGAAGTAACGAATCCGCCTCCAGTTTCGATAAGTAGAGCCAAAGCTGCGTTAATTTGGATTGGAAGGACCTTTTCACTATCACTTTCATATTTCGATTTCATCGACATCCTATCGTTATAGAATGAGCCATTTCGCCATAAGAAAATAGAAAAAGCCTCGACAATCAGCTGTGGTTGAGGAAAATCTGAAAAATTTTCGTCAGATAAAAAATCCTTGTAGTGCTCGTTCTTGCAGTTTAGCTTTCGTACTTCGTTCATTCGAAGGCGCGAAGCCCATTGTTAGACATGCTGCTAAGTAGTAACAAAGCCCTCTCACAAATCCAACCAAATTTCCATACCTCCGATGTCAGGAGATTGGTACCCTACTTCTATGCTTAGCTCAGTCCGTTCTACGAAGACTGGTGAGATCTTGTGCAGACGCCTTGTGACCTCCTAGCGCAAGTATCCGAGGTTTCTAGGGAAGAACCGACTGCAGCAGCAATCATAAAGGAAGCAGAGTTATGGATTGCTAGCCGAGTCCATACATAAATCCAGATACCATCCTGGACAACAGGAGCCAGGAAACGGGTCGAAGTAAACGAGTTTTGTAATTCGCATAAGTGTGGTGTTAGGTGGTGTTGAGTAAATAAATAAACTTAATTTATTCGTAAAATTTTACTGGCTTACTAATTCATTATGAAACCGTCTTCCAAGTGTCTATCTGAAATACATTCGAAAAAATACTACTACTTTAAATGTTCTACCGTGTTCTTATGAAACCGCCATGGTTACAACAATTATTACTAATAATAAGAAGGCCCCTTTCAAACATTCCGCGGTTGTGTTTCTTTCCTCCACTGTATCGACTTCTTTTTGGAAAAGTGAGATGAAATTTTTCAGATAATGCAGTCAGCATGGATCGTCTCTTTATTGCATTTTACGATGGCCATCGACTACCCGTGGACGTTTGACAACGACTTATTCGGTGGTTCGGTTTCATTTTTACCGTACTCTTTTAGCTTTTGTGACGAAGCCAGCGTGAATTGTTTCATAAATAAAGGATTTTTGACGGATTGATAATAGCGGCTGCCACAGATCCCTAAAATATATAGATGTATAATTGTCCTAGTATATTTACTTCTCTTTAGTGGACTTTCTAACCTTGGAAATAGCGTCAAATTTGAAACAACACTCTTAGCAAAATGTTGAGAGGTTGAAATAATGTTTGCTAGTTATTATTTTTGTAGTGAATATTTCCTGTAATATAATCCCAAAATATGTTGTTGTGAGCGAAATAATACACCGGAAAGCATTTGTGCTAAGTGCGGTACGAATAACCACAATGATGCCTAGATAATAACAAAACCTCCGATCCTCAGCGGTCTGCGGTAGAGATCGAACTCGCTATTACATTTTCCGGGCGCTAACGTGCTCACCACCACACCATGCGGGCTCTTCGTTTCGCCTTTCTCTCAGCGGTGTTTATAATTCATAGGTGCTATCAGCGATCAGCAGTCAACGGGAGATTGCGGTACGCAGTTTTGCAAATATCTAACCACCATTATGGTTATAATTCACATCAAACCCTGCCACGAAAAAGAACAGAAGTGCATGGAAGCTGATAACATTATGTTATCAATATTTGAAAAAAAGACCTAGTCGAAAATCTACCAATGTTTGTTCCATGCTTATCAAAATTCCCAGGTATGTCGGCTCCTCTTTTTCTTCAAAGGCTTTTTTTCTGTCGTTCATGCTTAGGTCTCCGAGCCCTAAGAAATTCGAATGATTTCGGCTTTGGTGTCACCACAAAAGTAGCATTTGAACGAGGAAGATTTCATAGGTTTTTTTTAAATGTCTTCACAAGAATGTTTAGTGTGACAGAGGTAGATTTCGTTCCACCGTTAAGTGAGCACCTTTAAAATCTACTGAACATTGCACTAAAACAACGCTTTTTATCCTCTGAAACAAGTTTGGCGCCAATCTGTCGAGTCTGGGAGGTATAGATGGCTCGGTTTGTTTAACCGGGGTGTTGGAAAAAACTAAAGATTTCGCTTTTATTGCAAACACTTAGCCAGTGCGCTACACGGTTTTGTTTTTGATAGATTTAAAAAGATTTACCTGTCATATACGCATTCCCATTTATTTCATAAACTGACTTTCCAAAAAGGAAAGCTCATTGGACAAAAGTGTCTGCAATAAATTTAACCTCGGCATGACTAGTCAATGTCTATCCTTTCATTGACAAACTAACACGTGGTTAATTTTTAAAAAGTCTAACCCTTCACATCCTTTTTTTTTTCTTCAAAGTTGGATTAATCCGAGCTATCCACAGTTGTTCCTTGTTCCGATATGATTTTTCATGATCGCATAGTGTCGAATCCACGGGGGCACTACCCGAATGAGGTAACACCATTCGGCAGCACTTTTTGATGCAGGACGGTATACTGATTCCCTGTTGACAATCGTTTGTTTTTCTTCGGACATTCGATCCTGCAAAAATCGGAGTCGGTATCATTATCAGCAAGCACAGAGCGTAACAGTGTTGCGAGAACCGACTGAATTCGACTTCAAGCGATCACGAAAGTCCACATCGGTGGGAAGAACGACAATCGAAAATCGACTCAGATCAATCCCATTCTGAAGAAGGAGAAGGCACCGAAACGTTAGCCGAATAAAGTTTTCTCTTTTTTAAATAAACCCCGTGTCAGCTTGTCGATGAACGAGTATATATTGTTCACATTTAGTTGGATTTTATATCGACGTACATACTCCCAAGTATAAAGCATAAGATTATTTAACGTTATCGATAAAAGGGCATAATCGAGTGAGTGTGGCTCATTCGAGAGTGATGCGCAACGAAGGCGCCACCTCGAGAACACGAATAACTGTATACCATCGACTTAGATCATTGGCTCCGATGAAGACAATATCGTTAAAACGTTAGCAGAAAATAAGAGGCGTTATCAACCTCGTATAAGCCTATCAAAGAAAAAATACATACTTGTAAGCGTTTCACGAAATATTTGTGAAGGAACTGACATGGAATGAGCACATAATGTGTAAGAGATTCTATTCAAATATCATTTTATTTCCATTATTTTTTCTCCGAATCGCTGCGCTTACACGAGGTTGATATGCAGCTTTTATTCGGCTAACGTTTCGACGTCTTTATCTTCTTCAGAGCCGATGGTGCGAGTCGTTTCCACACTAGTTCATCTTTTTGATGTGATGTTTTCGTCGTCTCATAGTACCTCGGGTAATCTGAGAAATCCAAAGAATTACTGATTATTCACGTCGAGGTTAAGTGAAAGTTGGTTTAATAACAATATTACTTTATTGCGTTTTACTTTTTATTTTCTGCCCACTATAGTTTTTGCGGCAGGGTATCAAGACACAACCACAGCGTTGCTGAGATATTTGCAAAACTCTGGACCGCAGGTGTCTGCGGTAGGGAACGAACGCGCTATTCTCCTTTAGAGGAGTGACGCGTCTCAGCTAGTTCTGTCGATTCGTGCTATCAGCAATCACCCATCAAGTGGATTGATCTGGGAAACCCACATCGGCATTGGACCCAGTTAAGCTACGGCTGTAGTTGGAATCACAGTGTTTTACTTATTATTTTCTGCCTACTACAGTTGTTGCGGCAGAGTATAAAGCGAAATACATCCACAATGTTGCTGAGATGTTTGCAAAACTCTGAGCCGCAGGTGTTTGAGGTGGGAATTTGAAATTGGTTTGCGGTGAATATTACTTTACTTTTTGCAAACTGGAAAGGGCCACAATGGAAGTCCCACAATGCTTTCAAAACTCTTGCTTATCCGTGTTTCACACCGCTACCTATTATTTTTTACTTTTGCTTTCTATAAGGAAAACAGTCACAAGATGACCAACTCAATTCACACGATGATTTCCTTGAATCCAATGAATTTCGTTTATTTTTTATGTTAGCAATTTCTCCTAGGTCTGACCGACAATAAATCAACGGCTCATATTTATTATATGGTGCTGGCAGTGAAAAGCACTCTTTCATCGCCGAGTCGTCATTTATATGACGATTCTCTTTCGTAGAATTTCTAGGCTTTCGTCTTTTCCTAACAAGGTTTTCAAACACGGACGATTTTTCCAACGCGGACGAGTTTTTTTTCTTTGCAAAAACCGTTGCGTCTGCGAAGTTTTTATGTGATTAATCCAGCTCCGTGACATTAGACATCCAACGGGATCCACCTCCGTTTTTTGAGGATTCAAGGATCTGATTTATTTTGAAAAGGTTGCAAATGGCTAGCGGTGGCGCCAAACCACCAATTCTTTTCAAAAGATTTACTCTGTTAGCTGCAACATTTGGATACCTCGAATTCTGAAACTACAGTTGGTTATTTTTCTGTGTTAAATGTAACATGTTATGCTATCGAAGCCTTAAATGGATAGTAAATGATTGAAGGTTTTGGACAGCTGAAAACTTCCCATGCGTCAAATATAATAAACAAATGTTTCCAATTTAGTTGAGGCGGTCATCTTCCTGAATAATTTAAAGTTAGCATTGTTTTTTTCTTTTTTCTTGAAATCCCATTTGCTGCTAACCACATTTGCATCAGTTATCACTGACGCGTGCGGACAACTCGTCCGTAACAATCAGTTCTACATCTGCATTTAATCCTTCTCTGACAAGTGAGGTTTTGGTTTTAAGATTTCAACGAAATAGTTTTGGTTAGAGCACTGAATAGTAAAGTTGATGCGAAGATTGGAAAGAAAATTTTTCTGTAAATCCATTAAATACCAAATTTTATGGTATCGCGGATACTTAGCCAAGATATTTTTGTTAAGTGGAGCCTGCGGTTGGAGCGTTATAAAGATTCTTGACAACCCATTGGCTTTTTTTGAAGTAGCTTACTTGATGGTTTTTCACTATTTGAATCATTTTTATTGTCTTTGAAATTTTTTTTTTGCACGGCCGTTTGAACCTACCTGGCTCTTTGTAATCTACGAATACTTTATGAATATTGTCATTCGGCAAAACAGTAGTGATAAACTGAGTAGAGAAACTTAGGTGAACTTAAAAAAGGTTAAAGCTCTTGGCGTTGATCAATCTCTGAGGGATGCGCCATGCAATCGACTTCATTAAGCATCGCTGGAGGTGATTGAATACGTACCTGGCCTTTACAATGATTCGCGGTGACCTACCGATGTAGCGAGCCTGCTACTATCCTCCTAGACAAGTCTGGTACCAATTTGCGCACCCCGGAGGAATGGAAGACTTGGTGGATCATGGGCGCGGGGATCGA